AAAAATTCCTTTAATTTTATTTTTTAAATTTAATTATTTATTCAAATGAAGGGGGAAGGGGAAATTTTCACTCCCCTCACCCAAATGTCTAGCTTTGTTCTTTACGGAAGGTAACCCTTTCTTATCTTTTATTTCACCACATCTATATGTCATGTGACTCGAATTTAAAACTTCTTATTTCTAGTGAAAAGATATTATTACTGAGTTATTTAGGTTGTTTACAAATTATTACTAGTACAAAGTTTTAACTGGAGGTGTGCCTTTATGACATTTTGATGGCGTAGTCTAGATAAAAGAGTAACTTCTCGGTTGAATTGTTTCTCTAATCGAGCTGCAAAGTTTCCATTTTCCTCATCATCAGGTATGGTGATAATTTTAACTGCAACAGGCTCATCTTTATATATCCCATGGTAAAGCCGGCTATGTGCTCCATGAGCAAATCTGAGCCCAAGAAACAGCTTGGAGAGATCCACAGTATGCTCATCAGCTCCTTCAACAGAAGTGACCCTTCCTCGACCATGGTCAAAATACTTAGCCCAAGCAGATTCTTTCCTACTCTTCATTCTCTCTTGAACTTTCATCGTTCCCAAGTGCCTAAGAGGACTTGTATTTGTTGCAAACGAATTGGATGCCTTAGCCTCCCGGGATTCTTTATAGAACAGCTTTCCCATGAACCCCTTATCTGACTCCTTCTTCCGAGGATGTGGAGTGGAGAATCTCTTCCTCTCAGACCTTGCTTCCTTGTTATGTTCTGCAGGGAAGCCGAGTAAAAATTTGTAACTAGTTGGTTTAGGATTATACGTTTTTGATTGAGAAGTAATTTTCAGAACTGATCTTACCATGTTTAATGATTCCTTTTTAGGTGTTAATATTTAATTAAGTTAATTAAAAATTTAAATTTCACTAACTCCTTAAATATTTACCTTGACTTATTGTCCACTAAAAAATTAAGTCAATTTCCTTTCCGTTCCCCTTAAAATTGTCCCTCAAAAAAAGGAGAAGTAATTTTCAGGCAATGTGACTTATTATTACATCTTAATATAACTAACTATAGGTATGTTTGGTACAGCTGGTGGATAGTTTTTTTAGACTCCAAAAGTTTCAGTTGCATCAAATATTAATTTATAAAAAGTGCTATAATTTTTTACAAATTAGTTTTTTGTCTATTTTATTACAAATCTCAGAAACATCGAATTGGTACTTTTACATGAGTTTTTCATTTAGATTTTAATTAAATTAATACATTATTTTTATTTTATTTTTATTTTTTTTCTATTTATAAAAACAACACTTATACAATAATTTTGTTTCAATAAAATTTTTATTAAAAATTTCAGTTACGCCAAACAGATACTACATTTTTGTTTAACAAATGATTTCAGAATTGAAAATATGAGACAAAGCTGTTTTTTTTTTTTTTCGTTAACTTCCCTGCTTTTATTTTTTAACAATATTGGCAGCCAAACATATCCTTAAGTTGTTCAAGGGTAGGGTATTGTGGTGATTCGTATTACGATGAGATTAAAGAGTTTGGAGAGTTGGAGAATACGGTGAGGGAAATAGGTAAAGGGTAGCTAAGTACATAACCTTTTCTAGGGTGTTGTTGTGCTCATATAACAATATATAAAAGTCACGTAAATAATAAATGTATTTGATTTGATTGATATTTTATTAATTTAAAAATTTTTTAAATAGTTAATTAAGATGTGTAAAATATAATTTTATAAATTAATTTTAATTTAGTAATAAAAAATATTAATAATTTTTAATAATTAAACTAAATAAAATTAATATATTTTCAAAAAAAAATATTAATAAATTTGTGTAATTGTAGGGTGCCCTTTATCTATGTCAAAGATTTATAGCTCAATTAATCTCACGTGGTTGAAATCTAGTATGGTACAAGTATCAAGAGATGATAAAATTTTTTTCTCTCAAAAAAAGAGATGATAACATTTTACCAAAAAAAGGAGAAAAGGAAGAAGACATTTGTTACCATTTTGATGTTCCACTTGTTGCACATAGCCACCCCTTTTTATGTAATGGAAGTTTTTCTTCAACACGAAGCCTCACCTCATGCCCTCAATATTTCATTATTGGGATACCCAAAGAAGATTATTGTGTTTTGTCTGTTGTATTTTTTTCCATCACATCCCCACCGGCGTGCCAAGACTAAAATATGAGAAAAGGTTAACATTTTTTTTTTGAACGGCAGAAAAGGTTAACATTTGAGTCAATTATAATCATTATTTTTTGTAAGTTGAATTTTTTGTTTTAATTATATTGATTAGGTAAGAGTCAAAAACACAAGTTGTTGACCGTTTGACTAGTAGTGTGTAAAGCCTCTATAGTCTATTCATTCCTTTCCTCCATAGCAAAAGGGATATTGAGCAATAATAATACTCTTTTTGTTTTTAAATAATTTTTAATTTTTTTTTTAAATTAAGAAATTATAAATAATATTTGTATTTATTTATACTATTATTAAAAAGAAATAAAAAAATTGTAATTAAGAAATTAATTAAAATAAATAAATAATAATAAAGTTAAAATAGTATCTCTTGCAATTGAATGGTTTTTAATTTTTATACAACAACTACAATATTACAGTTATGAGCTGTACTCAACTATCAAACGACGTCGTGTCTCACTTTGGGCTACGTCTACTCACAGCCGGTTGTTGCCTTCTTCGCCTTCGAAGTTCAAGAAAGAAGAAACATTGGTCACAACATAAAAGAGACCCCTTAGGCCCACAAATTGATAATGGGCTTGGGTTTCCACTCCTATCATCCAAAATATCCAATGGGCCAGCCAGTCAGCCAGCCTCAAGTAGAGAAGAAGGCCGGAATTATTTTGGTTTGGGTTTTTAGTCGTTTAACGAGTCTTGCTGGATTTTATAGACCATCCCCCCTGAACGGCCCACCAATAGAAGGACGGGCTACAGCCCAACATAAAACCTGGACCGAGTCACAAACACAATTCATCCCTCAAAGCTCCTTTCAAACTTCCCGCGAGGGAGATAAGCGCGCGACCATTTCTCCCGTCCCTTTCCGCCTCTTCCCAGCTTACATTTCTTTGATGGACAGGCGCCGCTTCCCATATGCAATTTCTACAAAAAAAAATGGAACCCCAATACAGCATTGCATTTTGGTGGTCAACAAAAAATTAAAAAAAAAAAAAAAAACATCCAAATTGGTAGGAGATCGAATTAAACCATTGTCGGCCTCATGTATCCTTTCGAACGAAAAGTTAGTTCTTTAAATTTCTTTAAAATCCTTCAAAAATTTGGGTCATTATCTTATTATTCCGATCGAGAAGATGTTAAATTATGGATGATACATTCACTGATAGTCACATCCTTCCAATGCCAGCTCTAGATAGAGTCACAGGTGTTTTATTTTGATGTAATAATTGCTGCCGTATTTTTATAAAACAATCATCTCTTGTTTCTTTTTTTACCTTTTTTATATATTATGTGACTTGAAGTCAAAATCTCTTATTTTCAATGAAAACAAATGATCATTAAGTTATTTAAATTATTAGTAATTTATGTATAGATTTTAAAAACACTAATTTAAGGATTAGGATCAAGAGATCAAATATGTAGAATAATTTGTTACTTACAAATTGGTATATTTTGTTGATGATTGGGATTGGATCAAATCTGGAGTGAATCCTCAAGTCGAAATGCCTGTGCTTTTTAAATTCATTTGATTAGATATGTCTCATAATGTAATGATAAAAGAACCGTTTGGTTCTTGAACTTTCATGAAATATGCATTAGATCGAATCAAACCCCTTTGGATTCCTAAATTCCAAATCTGGTTCAGACACTTTCTTCTTCTTTTTTGTTTTGGAGTTAACAAGTTCCCTTTATTAATTGAAATCTAGATCGAATTGAGGGGGTAGTTGGGAGGAGAAGAAGATCTACATCTAGTTCACTGCCTTAGATGCCCTAATGGATTGTTGAATATGAAATCATCTTCCTACAGATTTTTTCAATATAATGATATATAACTAATCGATTTTGAAATTGTAGTATATTTTGTTTTTTTTATCATTTTACTACTGCTAAACAAATATATATATTTATAAGGATCTACCACAAAATTAAAAGGAAAATGATGTGTGCACACCCGGGTCAACACCCGGGTGTGCACACTCCCCATTGAAAAATAAAAAAAAGCCCATCATCACCCAGTTCATTTTTTTTTTTCTTATGTAGGGGTGCACACCCGGGTTAAGGTCCAAATTAAAATATATAACTGCCGAACCGACATCAATCTACACTGTCATGTTTGAATCTATTGCACGCTCGGACGTGGAAAATCTTGAGGATTTTAGATTTCAGAAACTACCCTCCTTTTTCATGTAAATATAGTTAGGGTTATTGCTGTTATTAACTTCAAATGTTTTTTTTCTCTCTTTTTTCAAAATATAGCATAGAACTTTCTTCTTATTTCATCTTGGGTATATGACATGAGATGTCGTTGTCTTTTGAAGTCTCTAATTCATTCTTTACCTTCAGTGTTTGGAGTTTTCTAAAATCTAGAACCGGCATTGCAGATGTGCAGTGAATTAGACCTACTGCCCTTTGAATTCTAAAACAACTGGAACTTTCGTCAGAGAAAGAGGCATTTATACTTAATTTACACTCTGTTTCTGAACCCTTCTTTTCTTTTTTTCACTAAGAAAATATTAACTCACACATTCAAACTGACAACCTCTGAAGTTTTGTTAGTAGGCATGGTCGTTTTACAGTTTCAAGGCTCTTGTCTTTGTTCTCTTACATTTGTCGTACATTTTGATGCTCCACTTACTCAAATTTAAGTTTTCTTTAACTTTATTAGCCAGCCATACCTTGTTGCTTATTGATCACCAGCTCGCAGATTTTTTTGCAGTGTATCTTTTACTACTCAGGAAGGAATTAAGGGCAATAAACAGACTGAATTTTTTTTTAAAAATTTTTACCATCCAACTATATAATCTAATAATAAAGTTACTTTTACTCTTTATTATAAATTTAAATTTTAATTTTTAATATATAAATATTAAAAAATAGGTTCAACCCCTAATTTGATCTCTTAATTATTATACATACCCTTTATTTGTTTTCTAAACTAAAAAAGTCTCTAATTTAGCTTTTACTGTTTACCAATTTAGTTTCAAGTTGGTATTTTCGTTAAAAAACAGTTGATGTACTTATTATTTAATGATAAAAAACCATTATTTAACAACAGAAAACCATTACTTAACGATCACGTGTTACATTAATAATGAGACACATGTACTGCTTTTGTATGAAAAAACCAATTGAGAGCCAAATTAGTAAATGATATGGACCAAATCAAGAATTGTTTTAGTTTATAAACTAAATTGAAAGTTCGTACATTAGTTAAAAGATCAAATTGAAGGTGTAACCTAAAAAATATATTAATTTTTTTTAATTTTTTAACATAATTTATTTTATTATATGATTATAAAAGAGTGATGACTCAAATCTCATCTAAATATAAATAATGTATAAATGTGAAAATTAATTATTATAAATAACTTGTGTTCAAATTTTTAAAGAGTGGTAAATCTTAACACTTCATTCAGCTGGTGTCGTTTCATGGGTTGCATTAAACTTCTTAGTGTTAGAGTTGGACCCTTCATGGACAAAGCATGTCTTTCTATCATGAGGCAATGTACTTAATCATTTCACCTTCAATATCGTTTTCCTTTGATTTTTTTCGATAATTAGTGTGTAAAATATATAATGTGACATGTGATTAGCAAAGTTAGTTTCTTATAACGGGGTTAAACAATGCTAATGTCAGGAATAATCCACGGAATGACTTTTATTTGCCTATAAGGACCCACGTGGGGACCCTATACCTTGTTTATGTGCTATTATAGGCTTTTCAAAGTACTTGATAATTTGTGAAGTGGACTCAGCTTAACAACCTCCCTCTACTTCCTACTCAGTTATCATTAGTCATTCATTTCCCTATCTTGCTCTTCCTATTGTTTATTTATTTATTTTGAAAAAAAAAAAAAAAAAGAAATGGTCGCCCCTTGTTTTGGTTCACAACCATGTTGCATAATTTCAAGATCAACTTTGATAATCCATGTGATATTTGTTAGTGTATTAGAGACCAAAAAAATGAAAAATAAAGAAAATGATTTTGCTTGAGTCTAAGCCTTTATTTATTGGTTCTGCCTTATTTGTTCTAAACATTAGAAGAAGAATCTTTTATTTTGAGATGCAGATTATATTAAATTATAAAAATAATAATTATTAGGTGAAAAAAAATTTTATTATTAAAGAATTCATTTTATTTTATAATTAATATTGCATAATATGGCATAGTTTAAATAGTTCAACATTTATTTCTTTAAAAGACATATATTAAAAAGCAATACAAAAATAGTTATGAACCAAATAGAACTTGCAAATGGATTTGATACTAATTTTTAAAACAAACTTATCTCGAAAAGCAGAACTATTTTCTTTTCTTTTTTTTTTTTTCTCCTCCTTTACCTAGCCGTTAAGAAGTCTAATATATTAACAGCTGGTGACTTCCTCTCCATGCTAATAGCATTTCCATTCTCCCTTTTTGCATCATCCATACTCCACCCATGACCCAACTTATTCCTCTTTTTCTTTTGATTTCTTAATAAACACACCAGAACTACCATTAAAAAAGAAAATAAAAGAAAATAAATAAGCAAACATATTTGGGTTTTGTGTGATAATCCTATTTTCATCCTCACTTTTTTATAGCTCAACTTCAAAGGGTCTATTTAGCTTTCTCCTTTTGGTCTCGGGAGAATTATGGGAAGAATTTGCACATGACCCAACTGCTGTGTCATCGCTTTTATAACTCAAGCATGCTGCATCTAACACTCCAATGGGGCTTTGTGGCACGGATGGGACTGCACCACTTGCACCACTGCCCTTCAAGGACCCACCCACCAATTCATCAACCAATTCCATACACTTCAATACTTTCTCCTGCAAAACAACAAAAGCAGAGATGGTAAAAAGATCTTGTAATTTTGCAAGTGATTGATAGTTGATAGAATTAAAAAGCAAGATCATCATGTCGTGGACCACCATTTTTACCTTTTGTACATGCTGAGCAAGAGCAGATATTGCTTTATCAATGTCCACTGTTTTGCTTTCCCTTGCAACAGATATTGCCACTGCTGCTGCAATATCAGAAGGCTTGAATTCCAAGAAGTCAATCCCTGCATTTAATTCCCACCCACCAATTCATTAGAATTCTCTCTCAGGAATTATTACAAACACAACATAGGCACTCACTCACACCTTTTGTTGTGCTTAATATGAGTTGGGTTGATCTCAATATTGAAGTACTATGTCGGAAATGATCATCATCATCATCATTGAGCTTGTGAATGAAATAGTCTATGAATGAGAATGGCGTAACTGCTTGCATTCTCCATTTCAAAGTGCTCAAGACTAAGATCTCCATTCTTTGTATGGTTCTAGCCTCAAAGACAAATTTAGATTCACCCACCTGGAAAAAAACCCCAAAAAATCTCAGATCAAATAAAAAATTATATATATAACAAGCAATGAAAATGCTGAGCAGGATTTTGACTCAAACCTGCAGATCTAGAGACAAAGGGACTTCTGTTTCCTCCATTTTGGCTCCAAGTGAGAGACATGCCACAGCCAGTAATTGCATCATCCAAGCTTTTCCCTTCTGCAAATTGCATGTGAAAACAAACGTTAAACTTAGAGATAGACTTAAAGGAAAGGGAAATCTAATCTTTTAATGGTGGTTCAACTTACTGGTAATTCATAGGAAGAGAGGAATCTGTCCAAGTAATTTATTGATAAATATGCAGAAAGAGGTCCAAAACCAAAATGGGAATGAACCTGTGGAACAGATTGGATCATTAGCATGATCAGGCTTAGAAAAGAAAAAAATGGAAAAAAGAAAAGAAAAGCACCAAAAATAATTGAATCGAAGAGAAAAAGGGGAGGAACGAGTGAACAACTCATACCCTACTATGACGACTAACAAAGGAAAGGGAATAAACAAAAAGTGAAAATAGTCTTACAATCCAGATTGCCTATGAAGAAACATGAAGTGGGCGTATACAATTTTACAAATCAGCATTGGCCCCAATTGCCAAAAAGGAAGAACCCACAAAAACCACTTCAGATTAAGAACAAGGATACCAAATAAAAAGAAAACATCCAAGTTTAATTCATTAAACACCAAAACCAATCAGAAATGAGGCAAAAGATGGGATTTTGGCAAGCAGAAAGCACAGCAAAAGCTCAAACTGTATGAAACAATGAAAACAGTGATATAAATGGTCTGATGCATTGAAGCAGAAAACACCCTGTTTGGAGAACTCATAAATGCAAAAGATCCAGGAAGAAAGAACCAATCTTTTTGAGGAACCCACCTTTCCAATCCAATCAACAGCTTCTGTTCTAGCCCCCATCTCCAAATCTCCACTCTGCAGCCTCTTCAGATAATCAGCATTAGGCATGTGCTGGTGTTCTTTTTCAACCATCAAAGCCAAACACTCCTCACTCTGCAATGGCAGAGCATTTCCATCATAAAAGCCTCTGTTTTGATTCAAATTTCGATGATTTCTATGATCCCTTGTCATCTCAAACTCACCCCCCAACCCCCCAAAACAATCGTTATCATAAAAGATGCTGTTGTTATCCTCCGCACATAGTAGGCTCGAAACTGCACAATCAAAACTTGGTGCCATTGCAAAAATGAAAAACCTCACTATTTAACAAAAACGTGAGCTCTATGCGTATAGAAGTGTTTGGATTTTTTCTGATTATAATCAAAGAATTGAAGACCAAAGAATGGTTTTTGAAGAAATATAAGAACAGAGACACTACAGAGTGAAAATGAAGCGGTCCTTTTTCTCCCCTCTCCTGTCACCTCCTCACTCTCTCTCTCTATGAGTCTTGGGGGCTGAAGCGACTGCTCAAGGAGAGGGCCTTATGAAGGAAATGGGTGCCCTTTTTTAGGGTAAAGAAAAGGGAGGGAGAGAGATGGTGGCACATAGATGTGAGAATCAAGTAGCAAAGTAGAATGAATAGGGAAATCAGGGGTATTTTTTATTTGAGAGAATTGGAAGGAAATTAGGTCATTTTATTTTCCCCCCATTTCTTTTGATTCCCTTCACCCACATATCTGGATAAGAGAACTAAAAGAAATAATATATTTAGTTTGAAAAGGGATGGCAGATTTTTAATAAATTAAATTATTAAATTTTTAATTATTATAATTTAATTAATTAAAAAAATTTATCTTCTTTTTAGTTTTTCAAACTAAACATTTTATAAAAGAGTAAAGGAAATGATTTTTTCTCTCTCTCTCATTTTCTAATTTTTGGTAACTAGATAAAACTAGATAAAAGGAATTATATTTCCTTTCTTTAAACTAAATATAACTAACAAGTAATTAAAGTATTTTTTAAGAGAGAAGCTTGGTTATGGTTGCATAAATTTTTTTAACATTCTTTGAAAACATTAAACTCTATTTAATTTAGTTATTAAAAATACATACTAACTAATAAAATAATTTATATTTATTAATTATAAATTAAAATATTTTAATAAATTTTGTTAAAATTTTTTAATTTAAAATAATTTAATAATTTTAATATTAAAATTAAAATTTTAATATATATAATTCAAACAGTAATACATCCACATCTAATAACACATTCATGAGAGAGAGTATTGTCTCTGTCCAGGGAGACCCTGTCCTGGAAGAGCCCATTGATGGGGGGCGTACGTGGAAACCTCAACAAGGACATGCCTGTTCCCATTCAGATTTCCACGTGGCAAATACCCATTTCACCTTTCAACCACCGTGCCAACCTGTATTTCTCTTGTACTATCACCTACATTTTTAGATTTTTTTTTTTTTTAACACCATGAGATTCTTTTAGATTTTCTTTTCTTTTTAAATTATAGTAGAAATTTTATAACGGCCAATTGTGTAACTTTTTTCTCTAAAAATTTTTATGGTGAAATAAATTTGTTAAAAGAAAATATTAATATAATTTTTTATTTAAATTTAACGATTACTATTAAACTCTATTAAATTATTGTTTTTTAAATTTAATAAAAAAATTAAAGATAATTATTAAATTTAAATTGATTTATGAAATATAAAAATATGAAATAGAAAATTACTATCAATATTTTTTTAAGTAATATTTATTTTAACAAAATATTTTTTTTTAAAAATTTACCTCTTCTACCATTTTGTAACTCCTCAATTTCTTTATTTGATTAGTTACTTTTGTTTGTCTAACTTCTTGAAAGCACATGAATTTGCATCCATTCCTCAAGGGGAGATTATGGGATACTTCAATCATCCCAAAAAAAAATACTATTATATAAAAAAATAATTATTAGAGCTAGTTTAGTTCTCATGACCCAAAAAAATTAACTTAACCTAACAATTGTTTAATTGAACTTAAATTTGCATAACCTAAAAGCAATTTTTATGGTGTCCTTATGCCATTTTGAGAATTCATTACTAGACCGATTAAGTTGCCCAAATAATCTTTTATTTTCGCCCAAAAATTTAAGGACGAGAAATTGATTTTAAATTATTAATAACTTTCTAAAAATAACATTTATTTACCAAGAAAATAAAAACTAGTTGGGCAGGTTTGATATTTTCATGGAAATGAAAGGAGCAAAAGGGTAAATAAAGGGAGCGAAAGTGACGTATGAAGGCGGGAAACTGTTTTGTTTTTTCGTCCCAGGGCGACACGTGGCGGATGATGGGGTCAGACCATGACCCGAGACAACCGTTTCTTTGCTGATTTTACAATTATACTGTTTGGCTTTTTCCTCGTACTTACCTAGTCCGTATAAAACACAATTATACTTTCCCTTATTATACGCTTTCGTTTTGTAAATTTAAGTATTTAACATTGTTGTATATAATTTTTTTTTTTATGAATATTGCTAAAAATTTTTGGTGGAAAAATATGGAAAAAAATA